TGTGGTTAAGGACTCTTTGGAAAAAGCTGTAGAAAAGATCAGATCTGAGACAGAAGAGCTTTTGGAGGAGAAAAATCATGAGATGAAGGAAGATATTCTGTTGGCTCTTAAGGGGCTTGCGGCCCATGTAGAAAGGCTGGATGGTAGAGTGGATGAGGTAGTTGGAAATGTTGAAAGATTGGAAGGAAGAATTGAAAGAGTTGAAAATAATGTGGATGCAGCACAGAATGAAATTGTAATGTCACAATATAGAGACATGGAGTTTGCTTTGAGAATAAGAGGGTTGAAGGAGAATGTGAAAGAGAATTTGAAAGAAGAGATTGCTGAAGAACTGGCATCCATTTTAGGATGTGGAATTGAAGAAATGTTGAGAGATATTGAAAAAATCTTTAGAGTTAATTCGTGGATTGAGAAGCAGAGAAATTTATCAAGAGATGTGGTTATCTATTTTTCTAGAAGATCACTTCATAATGAAATTATACAAGCCTTTTATAACCAAAGATTTCAAATTGCAGCTTAAGATGTCATAATTTTAAAAGAAATGCCTCCCAAAATTCTTAGAAGAAGAAAGGATTTTGCTTTTTTGGCTGAAGAGCTCAAGAAGCAGCAAATTCAATTCAGATGGGATGTACCTATTGGCATAGTGGTGAACTATGTCGGAGCACGTTATAGATTAAATACAATTTTAAAAGCAAGAGATTTTTTTGTTTCTGTGCTGAAAGCAGGTGCACCACCATCTCCAAGATCTAGAAGAAATGAAAGTAAGTTTGAAGGACAGTTGGCTGCAGGAGCTAGGTCACCAACAGGAGAAGAGTTGTTGGTTGAATCTATGCAACAGTGTTTGGAGATAAGAGAAGACCCAAGAGAACAGAGAATGACTCGTGCAGCTCATAAATGTAGAGAAAAAGAACAACAAAAGATAGATTCTGGTGTTACAACACAGATGGCTACCTCTGAGCCAGTGGGAGGAACAAGACCGAAGAGGTCTTCAACTGCAGATTTAGATGCAGTGTTCCAAAGGCTTCAAGCCATGAGACATGGCAAAGTTTCTGACATGGAATGTTAATGGCTTGAATTCACCACAGAAAAGAAAGAAAGTATTTTACTATTTGAAACAACACAAGAATGATGTTATATGTTTGCAAGAGAGTCATATTGCTTTAAAAGATGAAAAATATTTGATTAACTCCCGGTTGGGAGTACATTTCACAGCCTCTGCTCCGCAGAAAAAAGCAGGTGTAGTTATTTATGTGAGGAAAGACTTATCACCAAAGTTAATTGATTCTGACTCACTAGGAAGATATGTTATTATTGACTTATTATTAAATGGCAAGAGAAGTCTTGTCATTGATGCTCCTAATCAACAACAAAAATATTTTTATAAGATGTTACATCAGAAAATAACTCAATTGGATTATAAATCAGTAATTATGATGGGAGACTGGAATGGTGTTTTAGATTCAAGTAAAGACAAGAAGAGTTCTTTTAAATCTCCTAATCATGCAAAATTACCTAAAGCTTTTTTTGACGTGAAGGATGATTTGGAACTTCGAGATATTTGGCGTGAACGGAGTATGGAAGAAAGAGACTTTACCTTCTTTTCGGACAGGCATCAGTCGTATTCCAGAATTGACTTTTTTTTAATTACTAATGATCTTTTTTCTAGGGTGAAGAATGCTAAGATATTCCCAAGAATATTGTCAGATCATAGTCCTGTATGGATGGAGTTATCTACTGAAGACGGGAATAGAAGGACTTGGAGATTGAATGAAAATTTATTCAGATTTGAGGGGAATGTACAGAGATGCAGAGATTATTTAAAGGAATTTTTTCTTTTGAATATGCATAAGGGTACTTCGATGCCAATGGTATGGGACGCCAGTAAAGCATATATGAGAGGGGTCTTGATTCATATGAATAATGCGTATAGATGTAAACAGATGCAGAAACGTAAAGAGTTGGAATCAGAGATTAAAACTAAGGAAAAGGCTCTTATCTTAAATCCATTGGATAATAATTTAAAGGTTTCTATTAGTTTGCTTAAGGAGCAATTTAATATGTTAATAGCTGATCAGATTGCAGTTAATTTGAAGTATATGAAACATAACATATTTTGCAATGCGAACAAACCTGGTAGGTGGTTGGCTTACCAACTACGAAAGAAACAGAAATCAAGGATTATAGAAAAAAATAAATTATAAAGGTAAAGAAGTTTATCAACAAAATTTGATTAAAAGGAGTTTTTTAGATTTTTATTCAAAGTTATATGCCAGTGAAAACATACATGTTTTAGATATAGAAAAGTATTTACAGGAATCACATTTCCCTAAACTTACTTCTGATCAAAAAGATGAGATTAATGGTTTAATTACTTCTGATGAGATTATTTGGGCAATTAAACAATTGAAAGTTGGTAAGGCTCCAGGTACAGATGGATTAACATCAATTTATTATAAAATGTTATCTGAAGAAATGATAGAATCATTGAGGGAACTTTTTAATAACATTTCGTTGGGAGCAGAGGTACCTCCATCGTGGAGAAGGGCTTTCATATCATTGATTCCGAAGGAGGATCAAGATTTGATCCAGCCCAAAATATTGGCAAATAGATTAATGCAAATTTTGAAGCAACTGGTTCATAGTGATCAATCTGGATTTATATCTGGAAAATATATGAAATATAATGTTAGACAAATTGTTAATCTAATTGAGTATTTGGACAAGAACAATCAAATCCCTGCGGCTTTGATTTTTTTAGATGCTGAAAAAGCCTTTGATCAATTAAATTGGCAATTTTTACTCAGAGTAGTAGAGGAAATGAATTTTGGGGATAAATTTTTATTTGTCAAGGCAATATATCAACAGCAATCTGCACAAATTATAGTTAATGGGGGTTTAACAGAAGCATTTAAAATTGAAAAGACAGGGATGTCCTTTATCCCCATTGTTATTTGTTTTAACCATGGAGATTTTACTTATTAAAATTCGGGAGTCACCTAGAATAAAGGGAATAAAAATAAATAAGAATGATTATAGGTTGAGAGCTTTTGCTGATGACTTGGTTGTGACATTATCTCAACCCACAGATTCAGTTAGGGATTTGGTTGAAATTTTACTTCAGTATGGGAAGGTTTCTGGGTTTAAGGTAAATAATAATAAGACTAAAATATTATCAAAAAATATGTCTTTGAAGGAAAAGGATATTATAGTTAAATTAACAGGTTTTGAAATAGTGAGAAAGATCAAATATTTAGGAATTTATCTAATGTCCTCTAATGTTAAATTGTATAAAAATAATTATGAGATATTATGGGTAAAAGTGCAAAAGGATTTAAATGATTGGAAAAAATTACAATTGTCTTTGTTGGGGAGAATTTCGGCAGTTAAAATGAATATACTTCCAAAGTTTCTTTTTTTATTTCAGATGATACCTATTTTGAAAAAAGATGCCAATTTGGAAGAATGGCAGAAGGGGATTAATAAATTTATTTGGGCAGGGAAAAAGCCGAGAGTTAAATTCAAAATTATGCAGGATACACAGGAAAGAGGAGGATTAAAGGCACCGAATTTAAAATTGTATTATGATGCAGTGGCTTTAACCCTGATTAGTGATTGGCTCAACTTAACTAATAAGAATATCCTATCTCTTGAGGGATGGGATTTATTATATGGATGGCACGCATATTTAATTTATGATAAAAAAGTGGATCAGGTTTTTAAAACCCATATTTTGAGAAGTGCCTTGCTGCGTGTCTGGAAAAAGTATTACTATAGGTTAAATTATAAAATTCCAATTTGGGGGGTTCCAGGACACGTGATAGAGGGAGTATCTAGGGGAGTAAATTTGGATAAGATTTCTTATAAGGAATTACTTAGTTTGGTTGGGCAGCATTGGCAATTAAAGCCTTTAACTGAGTTGAAGCAAGAAAATATTGTATATTCTTGGTTTTATTATAATCAATTGTTATTGAGGTGGAATAAAAAGGTTGGTATTATTTTAGAGGATGTAAATTTGGTAAAACAGATTAAAGATCAAGTCGATTTCATATAAAAAGAATTTATAATGCTTTAATAGAATTGGACTCTGAAACGAAGTTAGTTAAAGATTGTATGATTAAATGGGCACAAAATATCCAAGAGCCAATTTTACTGGATACATGGGAAACAATTTGGGTTAGAAATGTAAAATTTACTCAAGCACAAAATTTAAGAGAAAATTTTTATAAAATGTTTCATAGATGGCATTTGGATCCCCAAAGTTGTCCCGCATGTATCTGAAATTACAGCCCAAATGTTGGAGATATGGAAATTTAGATGCAACTTATTTTCATATTTGGTGGACTTGTAAAGATATTAAAGCTTTTTGGATTAAGATTTGGTGGAATATTCAAAAGATTTTTAAGAAAAAGATAAAGTTTACTCCGCAATTATTTTTGTTGGGTATTATTGTAGATTTGGATGTTAAAGAAACTAATTTGATGTTGAACTTCATAACTGCTGCAAGATTATTGGTGGGGCAATATTGGAAGAAAAACTTATTGCCTACTTTGGAAGAATGGATACTTAAAGTGTCTAATTTAGCAGAAATGGCAAAAATCTCTGCCTATTTGAAGGATCATTAACAAGAAAGATATATTATGGTATGGAGAAGATGGATTGATTATATTCAGAAGAAGTATGAAACTGAAAAGTATTATCTTGCTTTTGAATAGATTTTAGATAATTATTAATAGTATTAATGGTATTATTATTTTTGTCTTAATTTGTTAATATTTGTTTTGAGAAGAAGTTAAAGTGTATTATGGTTTTGATTGATAGTTTAGTTGGTTTATGTTAGCTAGAGTATGTTTGTTTATTTGTTACCCTGTAATCAGCTCTGGGAAGTGGGGGAGGGATAGAGGGGATGGGTGGGTTTATATTGTAATTTGTAAAACTTTAAATAAAAAAAAATCCAATCATCTATAGCATGAGAAATAAGAATATCAAGCTTGTGCTGTCTAAACTGTGGAAACTCTGACCTATTATTGCTGAGGTATTGGAGAAATGAGAGAAAATCTCTGAACACCAGGTTCAGCCAGGTAGTCGAGGTGAGAAGATGTGTTAAATGTGTAAGAAATAGAAACAATTTCAAAAGAGAAAAAGGCAATGGAAGATATGAGGTAAAATTTTATTTATAACTTGTTTGAAGACTGAAGGGAATAATATAGAAATATTCAAACTGTGGCATTTAACTAAATTTGATTTAATCTAGAGAAAAATCAAACAATAATTATTTTTTCTGTATTTTCAAGCCTTATTTATTCCTGCTGCTTCTGTGTTTAACTTTTAAATTTTTCTATTGATTTTTTTCATTTAAAAAAAAACACTAAGTAATTATTTCAATTATACTGCATATTATTATAAGCATTGTTGCTACATTACTTTCAGTCAGTGGTCCCCAAATATTGGCATTTCTGCTTATTTCCACAGATGTTTCTGCTGCCATGTCAATTGTTCTCAATCAATATTTCTTATAGTATGTTTAAAGTCAACTTAAAACATGTGGCTCTAAAGATATATTTAATGCATTGACATTTTATTAAATTCATCTTTGTATTTTCATGACCTTATCATGGTTTGCTACCATATATTTATCCCAGAAATTTGGAAATGCTTTAAAATGTTTAATTCTGCATTTTAAAGATTTTTTTGTAAAAAAGACAGAATTTTGGATGTGGTTTTAATACCTAGTTTTTTTTTCCTATTTATAAAGCATTTACAGTATTGAACTGAAAGAACACACTGTAAATTGAAAAATATAGGAAATTAACATTTCCATGTTTTCCTAACCAGGAAAGATTGTATTTTTAGTATTATTTTTAAAGCATGTTGAAGACTAATGTACCACAAAATAAAAGAACCATAGTTGAACAGTAATATATCTCAAGTAGAAGAATCCATCTTAGAAAAGGCAAGGTGAGAACTGAGAAAAGAACCTGATATATCAAGGTAAAGAAAGAGAACTGACATGTAGTGGAGATAAGGAAAGATAGAATTGCTATTAGTATAAAGGTATATTTAAAATATATATCAAAGTATAATGAGTGGCAAGGGAAAATGAGAAACAGGATGAACTCAGTGATAAAAAATGTACTTTGCTTACAGAAAATCCCAGTTTCTCTAGACAGAGTTTGGAAATATTTTAAGCTACCCAGAGTCACATTCCAAAAGATGGGTAATCATATAGTTTTGATAAATAAATGAGTACCTAAATGTTTAATTATAAAATTTATATTGTTTTGTAAAAGATGTTGTTCATATTTTTTAAAACATATATATTAAGTATATCAAAATTAATGCTGTTTCAAATGAGGTTAAACTATTGATTTTCCTATAAAATAACTGATCTGATCAATATTATATGGTATATTATAGTATATTATAAAATATTATACTTATGTGATATTATATTCAATTATAGTATTAGTATGTACATTTTGTTTTCACAGGAAAGAATACAAAGTCCTGTCTAATAGAACAAGTGTAATAAATTTTGTACTTCTTGGAATCTCTGGAAGTCACGACATTCAGATTTTATGCATCATACTTTTCCTGATTATGTATCTTTTTATTTTAGTGGGAAATCTTCTGATTATTCTTTTGATAGCAATCAATAGTTATCTGCACACTCCCATGTATTTTTTTCTGATCAATTTATCCACTGGTGATCTTGGTTGTTCTTCAGTCATAATTCCAAAAGTAGTATTTAACACATTCATGAACTCAACATGGATATCATACTCTGAATGTGGGGTGCAAATGTTTTTCATTCTTTTTTTCCTGACAACCAACCTGTTCATTCTCACTATCATGGCTTATGATAGATACATTGCCATCTGTTACCCATTGCACTTTGCATCCATAATGAAGGGGTCCACTTGCCTACAAATGGCTGGGGGGGCCTGGATGTTTGGATTTCTACATGCTTTGCTACACACCGGGAATATTTTTTCAATGCCTTTCTGCTCCAACATCATTAATCAGTTATTCTGTGAAGTTCCACAATTAATCAAGCTTGTTTGTTCTGACTCTTATCTCAGTGAAACCTGGATTCTTGTCATTAGTTCAGTTTTAGGAGTGGGCTGCCTCATATTCATTATCTTGAGCTATGTGCAGATCTTTTCCACAGTGCTGAGAATGCCCTCAGTTGAGAGAAGGGAAAAGGCTTTTTCCACTTGCATCCCCCACTTTATTGTTGTTTCCCTGTTTGTTGGAAATAGCCTCTTGGCTCACTTAGCCTACCTGATGCCCACCTTTCTGTCCAAATTGGAGAAATCATTTACTGTGCTATACACTCTTGTCCCTTCACTGATGAATCCAGTAATCTACAGCATGAGAAATAAAGATATCAAGTCTGCCTTTTGGAACTGCCTTGGTTGGAAGCATTTTAGCAAGAAGTAATGCAAATATATTTTTTCATGTAATTATGATATTAAGCATAATGACAACTAGTTGAGGTTCCCTAATTTTGGGTTTCTCTGTATAACTTGATTATCTGTGTGATTTTTTTAATGTGATTTATTTATTTATTAAATTTCTGTACTTCAAGAAGGGAATGAGAGTTGTATAGATAACAAAAACATTCAAAGATTTTTTTGGAATTATTATACCAATTTATGAAAAGAATAAGAAATCTCTTTAGCTACTATGGAGGATTATATAACAACTAATAATTTTTCTAAACTACCGGAAAACTGCCAGCATATTGAGCTATATGCAGATCTTTTCTACAATGCTGAGAATGCCCTTATTTGAGAGAAGGGAAAAGGACTTTTCCACTTGCATCCCCCACCTATTGTTGTTTCTCTATTTGTTAATAATAGTCTTTTGGCTCATTCAGTTTACCTGATGTCAACCTTTCTGTCCAAATTGGAGGAATCTTTTACTGGGCTATATACTATCATCCCTTCACTATTGAATCCAGTAATCTACAGCAGTGGTTCTTAACCTGGGCGATATTGTCCCCCAGGGAGCGATTTCATTTTTCAGGTGGGCGATAGAACAAAAAGGGGCAACATGGGGGCGAAGGAACGAAAAGGGGGCGATATGGGGGCAATGGAGCGAGAAGTTTGGGGACACTTTTGAGCCTTCCCCTGTGTCTCTGAGCCTCCTCCGCCATTTGCAGAGAGAGACAGAGACAGAAAGAGGCACTTGTGCATCTCTCTCTCTCTCTCTCTCTCTCTCTCTCTCTCTCAGATTTGCCCCCTCGCAGGGCTCCTGATTGGCCCTGCGCCCGGGTGCCCTGCCCCCTGAGAGAAGTGTGGCCAGGAAGTCCCTTTCCCTGGCTGGCCCCGTCCGATGTGCACATGGCCGGGGAACCGTGCAGGGAAGCCCTGGGATCCCCGCTGGGAGCAGTCTGCCAGAGCTGGCTGAGTGGGCCAGCCTTCCCGCAAGCTGCGGTCCCAAGGGAGAGTAGCCCCTGCGATCCCCAGCCATGGGACCATTGGCCCAGCTGACCAGGAAGGCGTGCCGGAGTCCTGCCTGGTTTGTTGGTGAAGAATGTGAGGTGAGCAGATGGGGGGAAGAGAAAGGGAGGGGGGAGGCATTTTCCAACCAGCAGCAGAAGCGTCCCAGCCGGACCCACGGGAGCAACTCCTCCTGGGGCCTGGCGTCGGCTTCCTTGCTCTCCTCCTCTTCCCCTTCTTCCTTCTACTGCCCCCCGGGTGGCAGTCCTCACTGGGCCAGCGGCTGGTGGGGGAATCACTCCCTGGGCAATGCTGGTGGGTCGTGGATCGCCGGGAGCACCACACGTTGCAGAGTGGCCCCAGCTCCTCCAGCATGGCAGACCTACCAGCAGCATGGGAGGTTCCAGCGTTGGTCCTGGCGGGAGGCGGATCATTGCTCTGGTTCTGACTGAGGATGCCGGCGGCACGGGAGAAGGTTTGGTGATGCAGCTGACGGGGAGGCGTTCCGCGGATACCCCATGATTTAAGCACAGGGATGCCGGCGGTGCGAGAGGAGGCTTGGCAATGCAGCTGATGGGCAGGGCATTCCGCAGATGCCCCGTGGCCCCGAACTGAGCCCGGGGATGCCAGCGGTATGTGGGACGGCCTGTCAACATGACCATGAGCTGGGGCCTCCCCGCAAGCCCAGCAGGCAGCGGAGCTGGGTGCCTCCAGCTGCAACAGGGGGTCTTCTGCTGCCTCCTGCCCCCCCCCTACCCGCCCCTTTCATTCTCTCTCTCTCCTCACCTGGAGAAAGGTGCCTTTCATTCTCTCTGCCTTTCATTCTCTCTCTCTCCTCACCTGGAGAAAGAAGGGGGGATGGAGGGAGAGGAAAGAGAGAGGGAGAAGGGAAAGAGAAAGAGAGAGAGAGAACGAGAGAGGAAAGAGAGATCCATTTTAGATCTCAAAAGGGTTTTGCAGCTCCCAGTGTTTTGTTTTCAGTGGTCATTACATTTAAGTGTCTTGAATAAATAAGATAATAATGAAATACATATATCACTAAGTTTGGGAATAAAGTGACTGGTGGCACCAAACTTTTTCACACAGTTGAGATATGGGAAAAAGACTGGAAATAAATTATTTGCATCATATGTCCTGATGACAATTTTAAAGAAAACAAAAAAAAGGGTTTGCATAAATTGAAGAATTATTTCCTATGTTGTGATTGAGATGTTATGTTGGGGGAGGGGGGCGATGACAACTTCCTCATTGGCTCAAGAGGGCCATTCGTTCAAAAAGGTTAAGAACCACTGATCTACAGCATGAGGAACAAAGATGTCATAGCTGCTTTTTGGAAATTCTTTGATTAGGGACAAGGAATTGCAAGAAGTAATGCAAAGCTCCCTGAATGTATTCCTTCATCTAATTATGATATTAAGCATAATAATCCTTAATTGTTGTAAAAAGATGAAATTTCCTAATGTGGGGTTTCTTTGTGTAACTTGTTTTTTAAATTATTTGTTTATTTATTCAATTTCTATACTTCCCATCTTATCTAAGTTGGCAGTTTGTTTTATTAACATAAACATGTTACCAAATGGACAGTTGAACTACGATTCTTGCATCTTGCTAGAGCACCAACGATGATTGGAATTAGAAATAATGATGTACCCATATGCATTAGTGAGGAATTCCAATAATAAAGCTTCTTCAGAGATGTAATGTATACATTTCAGATTTATGCATTTGTTTTGATTAAAAGGGGAGATCAGCTACTTCTAAGTGACAAATAATTATTCACACTGGAAGTCAGTTTACCAAATTATAAATAAACTAATTTACACAATCTCTTAATCAGTCCCTGGAAAAGTTTTAATTAAGACAATTTATATATTAACAAGTAAGTAGGGGTTATCTCTTCAGTTTGTTTTATTCTTGATTTTAGAAGACATGTTGATTAGTTTTTCCTTGAACAATCAAAATTTTAGTGATAGCATATAGATCAATCAGTTTTATTGTAAACAGCATGAACATAAAATTGATCTTAAATTAGATCAGCCTGAGGATATATTGTCATATCAAACTAAAAGGTGTCAATAAAATTAGTATATCCAGTTTTCATCTCAGAGAGAAGATTCACAATGCTGGCATTTCTTGTTAGTCCATACCATTGGTCTAACACAATGTCAATTCTCTCTTCAGAAAGTCAAAACTATTATTTCTAGATTATTCCTCCTTCTTTTGACAAGTTGGTGAGAGGGAGGAGAGGAGAGGAAACGAGAGATAGTCCAGAAAAAACTACATTACTACAGTGAGGGTAAGCATGTTATGTTGATGTACCTCAAAAATCAAACCCTATACTAATTATTCATAGAATATTATTGAACATAAAGTTTCCATTGCTCATAATCTTGTCTGAATATGTAAGCATTAGAATATATTAATATCCCATCTGCATGCTACCTGCTGATAAGAGAGTAGATAACATTCACTATCAACATACTCAGTTTATTATTTTAGAATGATGACATTTAAATTATATTGATGTATTTACAAAATTAACTTGGAAGAAAATAAGAGATTTCTGATCTATGTCTATGGATTTTTGTTGTACTTTGTAGTTTGATTGGTCAATGAAAATAAATAAACTTCATCAACTCTGATTTTCTTTCTCCCATAGTAAGAACATTTTCCTTTGACTGAAACATGAAGGTGTTTCATTGTTCTTAAAGTGGATACTCTCATAATGTTGCTTTTTTTTTTGTCAACCTTAGCAAAATGTGAAAAGAGTTCAAAGCTGGAGCTGGCCATTTGTTCTATCTCCTTGTCTGAGTTACCATGGCAATTTAACTACTTCCCAAAAAGGGAGAATTGCAGTAAGGATGGTAATTGTCCAAAAGTGCTGTGTCAGAATATGAGGAATAAGCACATCATTGACTCCTTCAAGGCCAAGGACATCACCCTTTCACTAGAGACCACTGTAGGAATTCAACTATTGTAACCATCTAGAGGGTCTTAAGAGTGAGATTTTGGAAAAGCTGAAAGAATATTGTGAGAAAAGCCTCAAACAAATTTAATAAATTGATGCCACTTAAAGGCTTAACTATGGAAAGTCACTTTACTGTAATAGTTAGGTGTTGGACCTAGAAACTAAGAGACTGTGTTTTCCAGCCCTCCCTTAGGATTAAAAGTCAGTCTTATATAGAGATAAAAATATAATCACAATAATTATATTATAAATGATAACACAACAGTATCACCAAAATGATTCATTAGAACATCAGTACAAATTATTATGGACATGTAATGAAAAATGGGTAATAAATAATACAGAGTTGAAAAAGTCAACAATGAGCAATTAAAATATTGTGGGATTTTCAAATACAAACTAATAAAGTCTTGGTCATATCATACTGTGTAACTGTGGTTGTAAAGAACAAAGTGAGGATAATTGATATGGAAATATCTGGTAATAAAAGAATAGAAGACTAAGAACTGGAGAAGATCATAAAATTGCAAGATTTGAAAATCTGTGAAATATTATTGGATAAATCACTGATTATCATCACACTGAGTGCTATAAAAACATAGATGGCACTTTAAAACTCTGCATATTGACAAAATTTCCATCTGTCTATTTCAAAAGGCCACATCCAGTCTAGGGTAAAAAGCTAACAAGAATGGAATCTCTTAAAAGGTAAAAATAAACATAAGGTAGGTCACACATATCTTCTCATTTAATCCATATCCAAAGATAGATTGTAAAAGTTGCTAATTGCTAATTAATTAACAAAATGCTCATATTAATATTTTGTCTAATTTTGATTGTGTGGCCTTATGCTGTGTAATAAAGTCTTGGGGGACAACAAAATTAATCAGCTTGCTAAATGTACATTCAACTAATGATACATCTGTACCCAAATAAGAGTTTGATAGTATTTATCCAATACCTCATCTATACTATCAAGTTAAAGGAGTATAGAAGCCAAAGAAGTATAGCAGAAGACACAAATTTTATGAAGAAAATATAGTAAGTGATTTCTAGATTGAACATTTAACAGAAAAGCCACATTAAGTTTTCTGGGGAAAATTGGCATTTAGTTAAATATGTCTGATTCAACTATTAGATTGAATTCTCTAATATTGACATTTGAAAGAGGATTT